TATATATATATATATCATTTTCAACAAATAACAATTTCGTCTAATAAGTCACAAGAGAATGAATTTACATACAAAAACGTTGATTATAATTACTACCGTTAAATTAAATGAATATAAAGTTCTCTATATATAAACATGATTATTTTATTTGGTATCACTTTGCTCCCCATTTTGTCCGATCTTTATTTTGATATTTATTTTATTGTCAATAATATATACTGATCTTTTTTCATACTGAAGACATACTCTTCACGTTTCACATTTATTCTTCACGTTTCACATTTCATTTTTATATAATTTTATCGAACCAAACTTTTTAGATTTTATAAATCTTGAATATAATAGAAATAACGTTTGTGTATATTTAAAATTAAATTACATTTTAAATATCATTTATGAGCAATTTAATTTACTTAAATCTTATACCTCGAACATAATACAATACTGGACGGAGAAATCGTCTTATGGAGAAACAATAAGACGCACGTACAATATGATTTGCTTACATGCTTTATCGCACATACAATATGATTTGCTGCACATGCTTTATTGCATTGTATTTAAAATTTATATTTTTTCAAAGCTATTAGACATAAAAATTACACTAACAAAATTTACATCTATAATAATTTCCAGTTTTGATGTGTATGATTGTAATGGGATACGCTATATGGCTGTTTACGCCAGAAATTTTCGGCGTTGTATTGCCTATAAACGAATCTCGTCAACGAATGCAAACCATTCACGTGGAATTTTATATTGATACAGAGCGGTATCTTTACCTTATTCTATTCTACATGTGCATCGTGATTTTTCTTGCACCATTAGTTCTTCTTGCCAGTTCCTCTTTATATTTGGTTCTCACACAACACGTTTGCGGCATGTGCGAATTGCTAGGGTGAGAAATTACTCCTCGCAATTAACTTTTTACTATTTACAGAATTATTATAAAACAGAGCTGGAATCGCTCTATTAATTCTTAAGTGCATATGAATAATTTATTCATCTATGAGACAGTATTTATTTTATCTGCAAAATAAATGTCAGAAATATTTCTCTTCTTTTCCTAATTGTTTATTATTTCGTTATTTTCTATTCTTTTTGCGAATAATAGTTTATTTCTTCATTTCTTTCACTTATTATGAGAAGGATATTACTTTAGCAGATTCAGTTGTACATACAACAAAAATAAAATTGTTGATAATTTTGACAGGTATCGCGCAGAGCGATTATTTTACGTTATCAAGGATACGGCGGAACACGATTTAAATCACGGGACGAAAATAAATCGCGAAAATATAGCCGCTTTTGTACGACTGCATTACAGCGTTATACAGTTCGTACTTTCATTTCATTTAATACGTTTTATGCAAATTATCTAATGCGTTGCAGCACACAATTTTTTATAAGTAATTTGCATAAAAAGACAGAATTGCTATCGGAAAATAAAAAAAGTTGAAAAATAATGATTGTGATAACAACTAAATAGTGTTCAATTAAGTAGGATAACTGGCAAATAAGAATCAAGGCGAGGGTATTGGTGCGCAAACTTATTGTTATATTTTAGTAATAAAAATGTATTTTAAAATTGTATATCTTGGACCGTTTTTTGGTCCATCTTCAGTATGGATATAAATATATAAAAATTACATTGGAATTTTAAAACTTGGCATACACAATATTCGTTGTTGTAGTCAAATTTTAAATTAAGATCGATAATCAAAAAGAAAGACTCACTAAAACCTGTGTAAAACCTGTATAAATTAGTGGGTAATGTCCAAACGCTATCGTCACACGTATCCGTCGGTGATTTACAATATAATGAAGTAATTTGATCATTATACGTATCATTATACTTATGTCCATGTTGAAGATGGACCAAAAAACGGTCCGAAACATACAATTTTAATACACACATTTATTACTAAAATATAACAATAATAAGTTCGCGCACCAATACCCGCGCCTTGGCTCTTATTTGCCAGTTCTTCCATTTAATTGTTAGTACTTTGAGCCTATTGCTGTTATTATTGAACGATGCCTTTCACTCTCTCTTGCGCGCGTGCGTTGTTTTTATATAATTTCAGTTTTCATAAAAAAAGTATTATATATATTAATGTCAATTTTAATAATATAAAGGTCGCGCTTCGATACTGATATTTTTTTAATCGCTTCTTTATATGTGTACTTAAAAATTATTTTATTAATAAGTTTTGTATTTTATGATAATAGAGATATGAGGAAACTTCGCATATATAGACGTATACGAAATATCGTACTTATATTATTCCCCTCCGTCGATTAAAACAATTTTATAATGAAGATTATTTATTTGTAATTAAGATAATTAAGCACTTGCACACTTCTAATATGTATAAATAAATAAATAAATATA